AACGTGATTAGCTTGAGCAAGAGAGATGAAAATTCTTTGTAAACTGAGATCGTTATGCCTGCAAATCTGAAATATATCGGATTTCTTTTGCCTATGTTCATCTAACGATATGGCTGATTCCTTGACTAAGTTTGGTGGTTTCTGTTATTCAGTTATGGTTGCGGATGATGTAATCTTTTTGTTGGTTTAAGTTTGGTGCTTCCTCTTATTCGGTTATAGTTACGGATGATGTAATCCTTTTGTTGTAATCTCCTTTTTTTTCAATAAAATTTGATTAACATTGACCTAAAATTTGATTAACATTAGCCGAAAAAAATAATAAGAAAAGGAACTTGTTTTTCTTAAGAAAACCTAGCCCCTGTGACGCTTTCCTTTTAAAGCACGCTTTCTATGCTTTTTCTACAACTTAAAATTTATATACTTCCCCTTATCCAACCTTATTTTGAATGGAGGGTTAAGATTGTCCAATCACAATCTCACATCTTTATACTATTATATTTTTAATTTTTTTTCTATAAATTATTTTGACACCAAATTTTCACATCTGATCCTCTATTAAACTCCCACTAGCAAAAAAAAATAGAAACATATTTTCAATAAAATAAAATGGCAAAAATACCCCTGAATGATTTAAAGGGTATTTTGGTCATTATATTTTATCGAAAAATTATTTTTAATATTTTTTATAGGTGCACCCCAACGAGAAGATGACACGTATAAAATTTCATGTTCATTCAATTTGTATAAAAAAAACTAAATCTAAAATACTTTGAGATGTTGAATCTAAAATCAAACGCTAAATAGCTCTTTTGATCAAAATTGGATGGCTGAAAGGTAGGAGAAGTATGAAAACATTTCCCTTGTTTTTTATGTGGGATGAAATTTTGTTTTCCACCATCTCTAACTTCTCACGCAGTCCTTATCCATTACAACAACCCAATGGATTGTAAACTTGTAATCCAAACACCCTCTTGTCACTAGCGAAATATCAATAGTGTTCCCTCTCTCACGAGAGGGGACACGCAACACATAAATTCCATTTTTTAGGGAAGTTATTTTTTCTTCTTTTGACGAATAAATCCCTTTATTTGGCAGGGAGGTTTTTTATTTTATTTTATTGTATTTTTTAAGAGATTTTTTTTTTTGGGACGTTTATTTTTTTAGAGTGTTATATGCTAGGAAGGTGACAACTTTCAGATAAATAAGTCCTTTTAAAGATGGAGAGCACATTTTTTTTTAGGAAAAAGTTTATATAAGGTTTTTGACAAGAAAAAAGTTTATATAAAGTTGCAACCTAAAAATGTAGAACTATAGATGCACCTCAAAATCTATCGGAAAATATTATTTCAATGTTGAAAAATCCTCTAATTGATCATCTCGACCACGAGATGTATGAATATAAAAAAAAAAAAAGGATTTTGAGTCCCAAAAATAGTGCATCTTGCAACACATTAACTAGACCGTCCATTTTCAAGATTTTCATACGTTTATAGATCTACTTGATTGTAATTATTTTTGAAGTTTAAAATTTTATATTTAGATATAAAAATAGATTTTGAGATAATCCTAAGAATTTTTTACATCAAAATTACATGTTGTGATAAAATTTGGAGGTGTGCCTTAATCAGATTGTTTAAAGGTTGTAACCTTATAGAAACCACACCCTTTTTAGTAGAAAGTCATATAGGAAAAAGAGAAGCTGTAAAAGAAAAAGTATGATTGTAATGGGGCTTATGTTTTTGTGAATGAAAATAGAGTTAACATGTGAAGAAAGATGGCTTTATTAGTGGATTTATTCATTCTCTTTATTCTCGTGGTGCGTGGGAGGTCTTGGATATGCACGTTAGCTCCTTAATCGTAAGATTTTATTCTTAGTTCTTGTTTTTCTATTTAAAATAGAGTTGTAAATGGTTGTTGGCTGGCAAAGAATTCTTAGCCGGATAAGAAGGCCACATCTTTTCGAAAGATAAGTATTTCTAAAAATAAAAAGTAAGTTTTGTTTTTTAGTTGGAGGGGAAGAGGATGCTGTCTTAGGAAGAGAGATCTTTTAGGAAACAAAGGGATGGGAGAGAGGACTTTTTTGTGGATTTTTTCCTTCTCTTTATTCTTATGATACATGATGGAGGTCTCGAATCCTCACCTTTGTTTTTTCTTCTTACCATTTTCTTTTTAGTTTTTGTTTGTCTTTAAAATGCAGCTTTAATTGTCAGGTCGTTGGATGCTGGTGAATTTTCACCTGCAATAACTCTAAATCCATTTTGGAAAACCATCTTATAATTCACGAACATTGTAAGCGAAATAGAGAACTGAACAATTTCATTTAACAATATCAACAAGATATAGGAAGTTGAATCATTGTATACAATAGGATAAAATACCTATGAGAGATATATGATTAAGTATTTTACACGTTTGGCACTATTCCAATTCATGATCAAAAGCCTTTTTATGAGCATTTCAAAATGTTAAAGAATGCATCTTATATGGGTATTTTGATAGGGATTGTATATAATGAGACTATTTACCTTTGATACAAGATGGTCACAATTACTTACAACCATCCAATATGAAATTTGATAGCTTGGATATGTCACAAAGTTCGAGAAAATTTCTTTTGAAGTTTGAGTTTGGTTAATGAAATAATTGCAGCCACCCAATTTCCCATCTAATGGTTAAGATTAATGTCTCACCTTGTACCAAAGATAAATGGTTTCATTCTGTACTTTCCCATTTTGATAATTTTCCCATAAATGAAAGAACAAGTAATAAATCCTCAAAAGCATTGCTCCTCGTGGCCTAGTGTTCTTTAGGTGTAGGACCAACGTATGTTGCAAACTGTTGTTTTAGAGATTTGTTATTCTCCTGTTTAATCTCAGTTCTTGTTTTGTTGCAATTGCAGAGTGGTGGGTCCTGTATTTCCAATGTCAAATTTGTTTCCAATCTTTTTACTACCTTCATCTCAAGTACATTCCTTTTCCCCTCAGATTCTGTCATAATTTGAGAACATTTATCTCAAATTTGAGGGAGCATACAACGAAGAATGAAGTGAGAAGAAGAGAGAACACAATATTTATGTGGTTTAGCCTGAAGCGTTACATCCATATATCCAAAGCCCAACCGGTTACATCTTTACTATTTTGTATGAATGTTTACATCAATAAGTTCTTCTATATATAGAGGACAATCACACAATTAGAAGAGATTATTATGGTATGATAACTTGATGACCAAATAACTTGGTTTCTATCTTCTAGATACCTAACATTATCAAGAGATATATACATGTACATCCATAATTATGTATATCAATATGAACCCGATATTACAACACTACCCCTCAAATTCAAAATGCTTTGACACAAAACAGCTTGAGTTTAAACAATACTAAGCTGCCAAAAATAAAAAAAAAATTTAAATGTTACCATGGTTTTCCAAGAAACAATCTTTCTTAAGCTTTCTACTTCTCTGAAGATTTTCTCTTTCTTGGGCTCCTTACTTTCTTCTTTGAAGATCTTCTTTCTTCAGAGGCTTCTCTGAGGACCTCTCTCTTCAAAGGCTTCTCTGAAGATCTCTCTCTTTTATGGCTTCTTTTCTTTCTAAAGGCTTTCTCACTTTAAAAGAAAAAGATTTTTCTTTCTCTCTTCAGAACATCCGAGATCGAGTAACAAAAAACTTGACGATCATCACATATGATGGAGCAACGTAAAACTCCATCATCAAACAAGATCAAGGAACGGAAAACTTGATCATCAACCTGGATCGAGAAATTTGATTTTCACAACGGATGGATCAACAGAAAACTTCATCATAAAACAGGATCAAGTAATGAAAAACTTGATCACCAACTTGGATCGACAAATTCAATCATCTTCATCACCTCATCTGGAGACAGAACTCTTGATCATCAACTACGTTCGAGAAATTCGATCATCTTCATCTCCTCTTCTGAAGACGGAGCTCTTTATCATCAACCATAACTTTGGAACTCTTTATCATCAACCATCTAGAATTTAGATTTTCTTGTCCACATAGAGGTTAAATTAGAGATGTTGACTTCATCTCTACTCATCTCAATCTTCTATTCTCCATATCTCCTATACTCCTATTCTTCATATCTCCTATACTCTCCCCCTCAAGTTGGGTGTGGATGCGAAGAAATACCCAACTTGCAAAACACAATTTTTTTTTTAGTACAATCATATCAAAAAAAAAAAATGCCAATGAAATTGGGCTTCTATACAATAGCCCACATTTTTAAAAAATACCACCTGCATCCGTATAGTGGCCATGAATCACATAGGGCCAAACTGGCTAGCCCCCACCAATATGTTCGCCCAAAACTTTGGACATGTTAAGTATGTGGGCAAGGACTCCATCAACGAATTCTTGAACATAAGGCCATAAAGACTCTTTCCTTAGATACTTGTCCTCTTAAGCCACATGGTATGCCTACAATATAAGCCCCACTACTCTCTCCCTTTCTCTTTCTAGATCAAGGTCATGAGTTGGCGTAGGATATGCATAAGAAACCGTGCGCCTTTGAGATGGGTAATCAAGATAGGCCTCTTTCTTATATGGATAGAAAACTAATTGCGGAAACTTGTTGGACAAAAAACTAATTGCAAACTTCTTTGGTTTTGGGGAACATCAACTCGCTCTCTCTCTATAAGAAACCAATTGCTCGGGGTAGGCAAGCTATCAAAAGTAGTGGAGCTATTTCTATGCAACAAGGAGCGGGCTTTTTATCAACTACTGAGCTTGGGTATTTTTAGAGAGGAAAAAGCAAATCAGATCATGCAAGGATAGAATGGTAGAGAACGAAAACAACACGATGGAACTTCAAGCACTTCCGTCGTGAACCTGAGTTGGGGTAGAGGGTATTGAAATTTTCAGATAATGCAGATAGGTAGAGAGGCTACGACGACTTCAGATATGAAGTTGAAAAACCTTGCTCTGATCTTGGGTATTTTTAGAGAGGGAAAAGAAAATCTGATCTTTTGCTATCCATGATCATCCTTGGCTCTACCCCAAAGCACAATGTATGGCCCATAAAATACCACAACCATCCCGACCATGCTGAAAAACCAAAACCCATACTACTTTTAAAATCATGAACTCCACAGAGATGGTAAATGTGCAGATGCAACAGTTTGCTTCTTGTGTCACACTAGCAAGAATTATCTGTTGATCTTTCAAGAAGTAATGCTAACCAAACAATTGAGAAGTAAATGGCCATGGATTGTAGTTAATTTGATCTCTACCAAACATTTAGTTAGAGGGATCCAGGAAAAGAACTTACAAGGAAATAACGATGAACATAAAAACAATATACTCACCTTCCAAAGTGAAGATCCACATGAAGAGTTATGGGTTCAAGAATAGCCACTAATACTGTGCTAAAAGGAGCGAATGCAGCTGTATAAACAGGGCCTTTTTCTTTGAGGGACCAACTTAGTAAAAAGAATGATAAGCCTGCCCCAAATACCCTGCATTGGACCAAGAACATTAACTCGTCAAAACATGTGGATTAGTCCTAAGAGTGATGGAATAGTGAAGATTGTCCTAAGAGTGATGTAATAGTGAACAACTTGGAAACAACTATGGTGGATTTGACTTGTTTATCTTTTCTTGAAATCTAAATTACTAAAACATTTACAACAATCAGAATAATTGTGTTTCTCATTTCCAACACAAGAAGTAAAACAAAATAAAGTAAATATCATTTTATGGCAGATTTGCAACAAAATTTGTGTAAATAATGGAATTCCTACCATCTATATTGTTGTGTGCTGCTCTATAAGTAACCTTTCAGCTCTTTTGCCCTGGTTATCAGTGTCAGAAGGCCATTAGGAGACTATTTTTAGCATATAGAAATGTTTCGTTGGGGTTGAGTTAAGAGTTTAAGATGCTATATAAGCTCTTTATGTGTTTGATTCTGTAATTGACAATTCTCATATAAATTCCAACTAGTAATTTCGAAGTTGCACTAGTGAAATCATGTATTGTGTTTCCTATAGATACAGTCACATTGACGATGAACCACTTTAATCTTGGTGTTTCTCTATTTTATTCTGTAATTGACAATTCTCATATAAATTCCAACTAGTAATTTTGAAGTTGCAATAGTGAAATCATGCATTTGTTCGCCTATAGATACAGTAACATTAACGATGAACCATTTAAATCTTGGTGTTTCTCTATTTTATTTCGTTTTGTTCTATGAGCTTTATGTCGTTAGTGCTACTTGTAATTTCTCCTTTTCCCCATTATCATTATCCTCATCTACTAGGATATTTTGCAAAATATATATTGCCAATTCGAATTAGTGAAAAGTAGTTTTTGTGCTTAAATTATAAAAACAACGAGGATGAAGTGAACCTTCTACATATTTAGAGATGTTATTCTGCTTGCATCAAGATGTGACAATAAATTCATTGAATCCGTTTCTTGTAAGAATACAGCAAATCGACATGAATTTGTTTAATAAGGACATATAAAGTAATCTTACACTATAAGCATAAGTGAATAACTCGAAGTTCGAATTCACTGTCCACGCATCGGACTTGTTGATGAAAAGTGCCAGTATGGCAGACTGAAGGGTACTCATCCCTAACATCCTCGCAATGAGCGTTGCTTGGGCGGGGTAGTCCTTAAAAGCCCAAGACTGATATGTCACAAGGGGGAGAGACAAGGTTAATAAATTTAATCATGGACACAAGAAAGCAATCCACATTAAAAAAATAAAAAAAAATGATAAATATCCTTCATAAGTTATATTTTAATTTTCGTTTTACTGAAAGGCTTCCTCAAAAATGTCATCCCAAATACATAAATTGGCCTTACTCTTGGCTATAACCCTGAACAACGGCATTTTAGAAATTTGACACACCTAAGGGCTTCTACCCAAATGAGGAGAGTACCCCAAAAGCATGGTTAGATCCCTAAAATGCCATTGCTTCTTCAAGGTTTTCAACCCAAATGCGGAGAGTACCCCAAAAGCATGGTTAGATACCTAAAATGCCATTGGTTCTTCAAGGTTTTCAAGTATGAATAAAGGCAATTTGGGCAATATTTGAAGATAACTTTTGCGGAGGTTTCCCACTAAAATAAAAACTTAAAAGTAATGCTCTCATATTAGTCGATTTCTTTTGAACCTCTTAGTGATTTTATAAAGGATTTCTACACCTTAAATGTTATTTTCCCCGGAAAAACAAAAAGACAATAATTAGAAAGTTTGGATTACCTGATAAAGCAACCATGCACCATATGAAATGACAGCCAAAATTATTAAAATTTGACCCAAAGTCCAATTGTCTTTTGGAGTAATGCCTGAAGTGGTATCCAAGAGACGGGAAAGAGGTGTGGGTTTCTTGAGAAAATCAAGGAACCCCAGTGTAGGACCTTTTATTAATGCTGGGACCTTTAATTAATGCCATGATCGTGGCACCTCCAACACAAGTTATGGTAACCACAATCTTTGCTTGTCCCCTTGCATTCCTTACATTCACTTTCTCCATTCCAAGAGATTGATAGTTTGCAATGTTAGGTGAAATGATAACGAAGTGCGAGTTATTGGCATGTTAAAGGGAAAAAAAGCAAAACATTAGTGACTAAATTATGGTGAGTGTCTCTCTACCTTGTGGTAATGGCCAATACAAAAGTAATAGCCAGTAGGATATTCAATATCGCGACTGCGAAAGTCGATGAAGTGTAAGAAACCCCATAAAAATAGGATATTTGGAGAAGAGGAACCCTGCAATGGAAGTATAATGATATATGTCAGAAATGAATGTGAGGAACACAAATAGAGCTTTGAAGGCGCTCACCCCAGTAGTCCAATTACGAAGATGTGAGCCACTGTTTTCAGGCACAGGGGAGGTCTGGTTTTCCTGCATAATTCCAAGGATAATATTGAGAGAGAGAGAGAGAACTATGTAGTAAGCTGAGATGATTCTAAGAATGAGATAGTGAGAAAACAAATGTAACTGCTACATTCACAAGGATAATATTGAGAGAGAGAGAGAGAACTATGGAGTAAACTGAGATGATTCTAAGAATGAGATAGTGAGAAAACAAATGTTAACTGCTACATTCACAGAGAGTTTGAGAGATAGAGAGAGTACCTTTCTAGGAAGTAAGCTAAAGGCGCAATAGAGAGGGTGGCGATTAACGGCTTATAGGTAACAAGATGGTAGGGCGGCCGAAGCTTTACGTCCACGGATCTCAAGCTCCAAACGGCTATTTTGATAACCAAGTAACTTGGTCTCTATCTTCTAGATACCTAACTTTATCCAGAGACATATACATCTTTAATGATGTATATTAATATGAACCCAAGATATCTATATCCCAACACTCCCCCTCAAACTCAAGATGCTTTGATACAAAGCAGCTCGAGTTTGAACCATACTAAGGTACCCAAAAAAAACACATGTTACTATGGTCTTCCAATAAACAACCTTTCTTGGGCTCTCTACTTTTTTCTCTGAAGATCTATCTCTTCAGAGGCTTCTTAAAAAAAAATCACATGTTACCATGGTCTTCCAAGAAACAACCTTTATTGGGCTCTCTACTTTCTTCTATAAAGATCTGTCTCTTCAGAGACTTCTTTTCTTTCTAGAGGCTATTTCTCTAAAAGAAATGGATTTTTCTTTCTCTCTCTTCTGAACATCCGAGATCGAGTAACGAAAAACTTGACGACCATCATACAAGATGGAGCAATAGAAAATTCCATCATCAAACAAAATCAAGGAACATAAAACTTGATCATCAACCAGGATCGAGAAATTCGATCATCTTCATCTCCTCATCTGGAGACGGAAGTCTTGATCAACAACCAGGACTATGAAATTCGATCATCTTCATCTCCTTATCTAGAGACGAAACTCTTGACCACCAACCATAACTTCCCTTTGTATAGTAATTGGACTGATCCAGAACCTGGAACTTGTTAGAGAAGTTAACTTCATCTCTACTCATCTCATCTCCATATCTCCTATACTTCATCTGTACTCATCTCATCTCCATATCTCCTATACTTCATCTTTACTCATCTCATCTCATCTCCATATCTCCTATACTTCATCACTACTCATCTCATCTCCATATCTCCGATACTCTCCCCCTCAAGTTGGGTGTGGATGCGAAGAAACACCCAACTTGCAAAATACAATTTTTTTTTTTCTTTTGAGTAAAACCATATCAAAAAAAAAAAATGCCAATGAAATTGGTTCTAGATTATAACCCAATCTTAAAAAAGTACCACCCAAATGTTTTTTGTTTTTTTTTTGGAGTACCTTAGGAAGACGTGACAATAAACACAAAAAACGCCAAGGTGAATATGAACAATGTGACGAAGCCACGTCTTTAGTTAAAAAAAAAAGGCAAATCAAAGAGCTTAACCTCCTCCCTAATGGCTATACTGTCGTTGGTGCCGGTGATGAACAGCGAGGCAAACACAACAGCGGCGAGAAAAAGACAGTGATGGTGAGGCTAATCGAGAGGGGTTATCTTTCAACACTATGACTGATGGAATAAATCGACAGTGGGCTATCTCCATTGGCGCGAGTTCTTATGATCCTCTTTGATTGGGTTATTGCATATGATGAAGAGGAATATGGCATTGGTGGGTATGGGTCTGCTTTAATTTTTGGTAAATCTCCACGAGCTTCAAATTGCTTCCAATCAAAGACCTTCCCTTCCAAGATAATTCGGAACGTCCAACATTGGTGGGTAAGAGAGATAATTCAGAGTTAGAAACTGTATTTATGTATATTTGAGCCTTAGATTCAGAGTTGAGAACAGTAAGATCCAAAATAGATCGGAGAGTCGAAACACAACTCAGCAGAGAGATAGCTCAAAGAGTCAAAACACGACTCGACAGAAAGATAGAACAGAGAGTCGAAACATGACTCGGCAGAAAGACAGAACAGAGAGTTGATTCCAAAACATAGTTGTTCAGATGTTTCAGATGGGTGAATTCAAAGTGGAGATGGGTGAATAGTATGGTCCTTCTCTTTGTAAAGAGAACAATGTGGTCGATCGGTTATGTCAAACAAAACCTTTTTTTCTTTCACAAAAGTCATCCCACTTTTGGTTTGACGCGATGCAAAAACAGGAAAAGGAGGAACAACTTTTGCTTAGACTAGACGGTGTAAAAACAAAGAAGGAAACTGGTTAAAGCATACACAGAGAGAGAAAAGAGCTGGGTAGGTGTATTGGTGGAGAACCCGAGGATGGTGAAGATGGCTTTCTCCCCCTTCTTCATGGTTTTGTTCCCTAGTCCCATCCTTTGATTACTTGCCTTTGGGCATGCTTGAACTTAAATGGCGTTCCTCTGTCACGGCTTGTATCGAATTGGGTTCCATCCAAGAGTGTGCCAGTATAATGCACTTCTAACTGCATCCCCATTCTAAGGAGTCTCCCATCCTGAACCTTCATTGACAAGCTTCTTCTTCTTACGCAAACTCCTTGTCCTCACCCATTTTCAACCCCATGGATCGCTCACAATAACAAGGAATCGCAGGAAACAAGCAATTCAAATTTGGAACTTTCGCAAAAGAATACCTCATCGGAAAGAAAACAAGCACTTTTCTAGCGACCAGAAGCCTTCACATAAGAAGGATCGGTGGTTGCAACACATCAACAAGGATTGGTGGTTGCAGATGGTCTTGAAATTTCCCAATATCAAATACGAGCCGAGGAGTCACATCAACAAGGATCGGTGGTTGCAGATGTTTGTAAAATTTCCTTATATCGAGGAGTCTATGGCTCTGATACCATGTCCCGATATCGAGGAGTCTATGGCTCTGATACCATGTCTCGATATCATGGAGTCTATGGCTCTGATACCATATTAGAATTTGGATCGGTGGTTGCAGATGTTCTTAAAATTTCCCGACATCGACATCGACATCGAGGAGTTTATGGCTCTGATACCATGTCCCGATATCGAGAAGTCTATGGCTCTGATACTATGTCCCGATATCGAGGAGTCTATGGCTCTGATACTATGTTAGAATTTGTGAGTGCATAGAATGGAAAAAGTCTATGGCTCTGATACCATGTCCCGATATCGAGGAGTCTGTGAGTGCATAGAATGGAAAGAGTCTATGGCTCTGATACCATGTCCCGATATCGAAGAGTCTATGGCTCTGATACCATGTTAGAATTTGTGAGAGCATAAAATGGAGAGAGAACAATATTAAGAGCATAAAATGGAGAGAGAACAATATTACACAATATTTACGTGGGTCAGGTGGTTCAGGCCGAAGCCTTATGTCCACGAATCCAAAGCCCCAACCGGCTACATCTTTATTATATTTAATCAAAGCTTACATTAATAAGTACCTCTATAAATAGAAGACAATCACACAATTAGAGAAGATAATTATGGTATGATAACTTGATGATCAAGTAATTTGGTCTCTATCTTCTAAATACCTAACCTTATCAAAACACATACATCCATAATGATATATATCAATATGAACTCAAGATATCTATATCCCAACAGCTCATCCCTCGTCGAAATGCTATTTCGTGAGGACAATCATCACAGCAAAAAAGCTTTGAAACAGGATTAGGGCAAGAGCTGGTATGTACTTCCTCATTTTCCTTTACTTCTAAAATTTCAAAGAAAGAGCAAATTAAACAAGAGCAGTAGAAAAAGGTGAAGAAGAAGAATTACATAGAAATTTGTTATGAAAAAAGTGATGCTCCCATGCTTCTTTACAAGCCATGCAACCTCCCTCATAGGCAATGACGTTTTCTCCTTTCTTATGCACCCTCATGGGCGTGTCCAGGGAGGGGGACCACCTTATCCATTTTATCTTCTTTCCTCTGCGGTAGGCGGAACCAGCTTGCCAGCAAAGGTGCGCGCGATGGCCTCTTTCCGCACACATGAAACTCACCAGCTCAACCACGACTGGGCCCCGCCATGCCTCAATACACATGAAAGGTAGGCCCATACCAAAAAATAAATTTCAAGCCTTGCCTGTGTCGGATCAGCAATCTTGTCTACAAGGTCCGTGACAAAAAATCGGGTCAAACCGAACTTGGTCATTTATGAATGGAGGTAATTTTATTTTAAAAAATGTACGAAAGAATTTAGGTCTTGAAATTACACCGGCCACAATCCCAAAAGCCTGCAGGCCAGGCTTGACGGTGAATACCCTTTAACCCAACTCCATAAAGGCACACGACGCCGTCCTTATGGGCCCACAGCGCTGGTGTGTACAATAGAGAATAAAAACTATTGAATTGGGAAAAAGCACCGAGGAACCTTCTTTTATTTGACTGAAATGAGACTAGAAAGCAAGGAACCTGATCTATACCATGAACCCTACCAAGCCGTCACCTTTTTTATTTTTATTTTTGTTCTCTTTTGATATAAAGTCATCGAAATAAAGAAAAAAATCATAAACAACGAAAGTCAAAGGACAGGAGCCCACCTTCTCTGTTGCACGTGCCAATTAAAAAACCAAGAAAAATAATACTAAATTCACCCAAACTCCTAAGGTAAGGGTGAGTGCTCCAAACTCCCATAAAGAAGCATTTAAAGGGACACAATAATGTGCATGGTATGTGGTACTCCAGGAGGGAGCCCACCACCATTACGATTTAGAGGCGGGACTAACCCAAACTCCCATGAAGGGCTAACTATATAGAGAGGGGATTAACCCAAATTCCGATGAAAGGCTATGTAGTGTGGTACATTTAACCCCACGTGCCGGCATACTATCGTGATTAGTTTTGATCAAAAAAATATAAAGATAAAATAAAAATAGGGTAGGGGGTGATTTTTGGTGGCCTAATTTTTTTTTAGATAAACTAAAAGTAAATGGAAAAATATGGAAGGGAGGGGGTGACTTGCATTCTTATCCTTTAAGTAATTAACACTGTGAATCAAGATAACACTGTAAACCAATATAAGATTTCAGCATGTATACTTATTCTTTAATTAATTAACATTGTGAATCAAGATAACACTGTGAATCAAGATAAGATATTAACATATGATATTTTGAAGTACAATTACTACACAAAATATTGGGCATAGATCGTAACAAATAAATCACATAAACTTTATCTTTAAAAATTTTAGAGTAAAACAAGGGAAGATGGAACCTAGATGCTTCGATAACATTGGTAGCAATTGATGAAGCATGTATAAGATCAAACCCAAGATCAGAGAAAGGGTGCCGTGAGGCTGGTGATCACAGAGCCTGGATTTTTATCCCTTCACCTTTTAGAGAGATGTGCACATTTTCTTTATAGTGCACATCCTCTCTCTGACTTCCTATTTTATAGGGAGAAGAAGAGGTAACTATTGTATTTCTCCAACAGGTCTCTGAGAAACAAAAGGGTTCCCTGATCTCCAACAAGTTTTTGAAGGGATACGTTCATATGGATATGACTATTAGACGAAGGATTACGTTAATATGGATATGACTGTTGGATATATGGAATTTTCACAAATGTAGGCTAAGACACGTAAGGCCTCATAGCCATACGTGTCAACATCTCCCACTTGGCTATATCGGCCGAGTATAATAAGACACACACATACTCCCACTTTTGAGTATGATCTTTAAGAAAATATGCCTCTCATAACAAATGTCTAGCATGAGGATTTTCAAGTTAATACGGATTTCTTAGTCATGAAAAAAATGTCAGACTTAAATATTTTTAAGTCCTATTAAGCTAGTCTATCATGAGGATTTTCACACTAGTGCGGATTTCTCACTCATGAAAAACTGTCTGACTGAAACATTTTTAAGTGTTGAACTAATGTCTAAGTCCGATTAAGCTAGTGTGCTTAGACATTAGTTTAACACTTAGAACTTTTGTTAATGGATCAGCGATTATATCTGATGAGGACAAGTAATTAACATTTACTTTGCCTTTCTCAACTATATCCTGAATGTAGTGATATTGGATATCTATATGTCTTCATTTGGAGTTATTTGCTCCACTTTAAATTAATTTAATTGCGGCTTGGGCTTCATGATCACAAAATATTTGGATCAGTCCGTCGATTATTTGCAGCTTCAAGTTATCTATGAAGCGTTTTTTCCAGACAGCAAAAGTACAAGCAGTACTACATGCAATGTATTCAGCTTCATGTGTGCTACACACCCTTATTTCTTGATAGACCAAGAAACAACTGCGAGGAAAATGTGTCATGAGGTAGACTTACTATCGTCCTTATCCCCAGCAAAATCTGCATCTAAATATTCTATAACTTCAAGTTTATCTGCTTGAAAGCATAATTTTAGATGCTTTGTTCCTTTAAGGTACCTTAAAATTCTTTTTACTGCTTTTCAATGAGCTATGCCTGGATTACTTTACTACTTTCTAATGAGCTATGTCTGGATTACTTTACTACTTTCCAATGAGCTATGCTTGGATTACTTTGATATCTACTAACAAGTCCTACGACATAACTCAAATCTGGCCTTGTACATCTTATTTTGTATACCAAGCTACCAATAACTTGTGCATAGGGAACGTTAGGCTTTTCTTGTCCTTCTAGTGAACAATCCTTCCTAGACAACTTTACTCCCTTTTCAACAAGAGTAGACAATGACTTAGAGTCAAGATATATCTCTAGTTATTTTTATGCCTAGGACAAAAGATGCTTCTCCTATATCTTTCATCTCAAATAGAGAAGAAAGACATGACTTAGTCTTATCAATCATTTCTACGTCATTTCTAACTATTAGGATATCATCTACATATAATGAGAGTATTGTGAATTTACTCCCACTTTTCAAAACATACACACATTGGTCCAATCTTTTTCATATCCCATCTGTAGGATGACATCATGAAAAGTTAGGTACCATTTTCTTGAAGATTGTTTTAAACAATATAAAAAATACCGTTGCTTGCCACTTAGAGCGGCATACGACTATTTTTGGCAAGGCCATCTCGTAAGGGATTGGTCCCTCAAACAACGATGCATAATTTTTTAAAATAACAAAACGTTTTCAGTCCTCCGCCATGCCAATTGAGCTAAGGTCGGTTGTTATCCTTAACTTGCTGGTTCGAATTCAATGCTTTTGAAGTTTGACACCAAGAGTCAAAGTCAAAAGGTTCCATGAACAAAGCATTTTGCATAGAGTGTGATGCTATCAGCCTACATCAAGCATTGAAAGAAGTGGCAAAATATTCAATCTGTTGAGCCATTCCCTTTGAATTTTCCATTTTGCATAGAGTGTGATGCTATCAGCCTACATCAAGCATTGAAAGAAGTGGCAAAATATTCAATCTGTTGAGCCATTCCCTTTGAATTTTCCCAACATTCAGATAAATTTTATTTTGAGAATACTTATTTTCTCAGGGTCATTGCCATCCAATGAAACAATGGATATTAATGGAGAGGGTGTGGGCGGTCATTGGCATCCAATGAAACAATGGATATTGATGGAGAGGGT